TTTCAGGATGACGAGAATTTGCAGGCGTGGACCGGTGTTGTAGTGGGTGGCGGGGCGAAGCTGAGTGGCTGAGGTGGGCGAGGTGGGGGTGATGGCCATGGAGGGTTACAGTGTTGTGTCAGAGGCAGTGGTGCAGCGGGTGTTCTGGGTCGACTGGTTCCACCATACCCCTCATATTAACCTCACACTCCACCCCGTCAATGATACCTTCAGTCCCCTCTCGCCTATCTACCAAGAGGTGAGGCTAGGGGGGGTAGAAATAGCCTAAGCTACTCTAGCCATTTGAGATTTATTTTTTCTTGTCTATAAACATACTTGAACTTGAAGGTTTCTTGAAGCTTTTTAGTGTAATGTGAGTATTCGGGGGAAATTTACTTAGATGTAGCTTTTTAATTACATAAAATCACAGATGGGTCATATATATCCAGCCAGATGTGTAAAAAGCACCTTACTCAGTTTGTGATGGTAGCTTAAGATTCAGTTTACTTGTAAAGTATCTTCTTCTGGCTTTTTGATCTGTGCATTGACAAATTTGCACATTGCTGGAGCTTAGTTTAAGTAAACACTTTTTGTTAAACAAGTTTAGTGGATAGTTCATATAGTGTATGTAATACACTACTGTATATGGTAATTGACCAAATGTATTTTCTGACTATTTGTGTGATCGGCCTTTCATCACCTCTCAACTTAAAGATGTTATTGTGTAAATCTTAATATTTACAATACTGTAATTCATTAAGTTTAGCTAAAAGGATTTGCTTTCTTCTTTGATCAGTGGTAGATTCGAGGATTTTTGTATTATCTACTAGCATTTTCCTAGTCAGTGTCATGTTATGTTTGCTTTGAATATTGTTTCCATGGGCACCAGAAAGCAAATGCAGTATACCAATTTACATGCGTCGATGAAGGATGTCATCTTCGATCTGCCTATATTGGTATGACCACCACAAAGTTTTCGAGAAGATTAACTTTGTCATTTACAAGCTTGTATCCCTAGAAACCATGTGCTCAGACACCCAAGTCCATGCATACAGATTATAGGACAGTGTCATCTCTGGCTATGCACTCGAGAGTGGAATTCCAACTGAGTGGTATACTGCAGTATACCACTCTGTCAGCTATGAAAAATCCTACTCTCACTGGTATTGAAGTGCACTCATTTTCCAACCCCTACATTTGAAGTTTTGGGTCTTCTGTCTAGGTTTCTGATTTTTACGGAGGAATGCATTTTCGAGATTCCCCTGTGTCATATTTCATCTTTAACCTGCTTTCTCTATGATAGGCTTCTATCTTTGGGAAAATGCTTCTCGATCCCATTGAAGTGGGAAACAGTGTAGTGTTTTTAATGCAGACTAAGCTGCAAGTAACATGATTCACAGATTTAGAATTTTAGAATTACAGTACTTATTTTAATTAAAAATCATTACATTGCAATATAAGATTATATATATTTTTTGCCATTGATCAGTATATTGTGTAATATTGATAATTACAGCTTGATATTACATGGTTTTTTCAGAGTCTTGGTATTATTGGGTCAGTTCCTGCTGGCGTGTTGATCCTGACATTGTTGGTGCTGCTGCTGTACCTGTTGACGCGATGCTGCGACAACCGACCCCGCAAGCCAGGCTCCATAACCTGTCTGAAGGTTATGTTGGTCCTCTTTGCCATATTTACACTGTAAGTTTGTTGCTGTTGCTGCTGCTGCCCCTCTTTCAGTCACTCAGTCTCCTCTTACTACTACTACTACTACTACTGCTACTGCTACTGCTACTGCTACTACTACTACTGCTGCTGCTGCTGCAAATTCTACTTCTTGCACTTTTTCATCTCTGCTCATCCTGCTTTCCCCTCTTTTGTTTCTTCTCAATCTTTTCTCTCCTTCCCCTCTCTCTCCTCGCTCTCATTCCTCCTTCCCTCCCTCTCCCCTCATCCCTCCTGCCCTCCCCTCCCTCCCTCCTGCCCTCCCCTCCCTCCCTCCTGCCCTCCCCTCCTTCCCTCCCTTCATCCCTCCTGCCCTCCCCTCCCTCACTCCTTCCTGCCCTCCCCTCCCTTCATCCCTCCTGTCCTCCCCTCCCTCACTCCTTCCTGCCCTCCCCTCCCTCCCTCCTGCCCTCCCCTCCCTCCCTCCTGCCCTCCCCTCCCTCCCTCCCTTCATCCCTCCTGCCCTCCCCTCCCTCCCTCCCTTCATCCCTCCTGCCCTCCCCTCCCTCCCTCCCTTCATCCCTCCTGCCCTCCCCTCCCTCACTCCTTCCTGCCCTCCCCCTCCCTCCCTCCCTCCCCTCATCCCTCCTGCCCTCCCCTCATCCCTCCTGCCCTCCCCTTCATCCCTCCTGCCCTCCCCTCCCTCACTCCTTCCTGCCCTCCCCTCCCTCCCTCCCCCTCCTCCCTCCTGCCCTCCCCCCCCTCCCTCCCTCCCTCCCTCCCTCCCTCCCTCCCCTCATCCCTCCTGCCCTCCCCTCATCCCTCCTGCCCTCCCCTTCATCCCTCCTGCCCTCCCCTCCCTCACTCCTTCCTGCCCTCCCCTCCCTCCCTCCCCCTCCTCCCTCCTGCCCTCCCCTCCCTCCCCCCCCATCCCTCCTGCCCTCCCTCCCTCCCCCTCCTGCCTCCCCTCCCTCCCCCCCCATCCCTCCTGCTCTCCCCTCCCTCGCCAAAGTTCCTTCAAACATTATCATAACATAAAAGCAAGGTTTCCTTATGTTGTAAATTTTGCGTTTACAAAATTAACAAGACCTGGCAGTCATCTCGTAAATTGTTTTCAATATCTCAGAGTAAAGTGTTAGTAAGAACCCATTTCTATGTTATATATCATCAATATTAATCTAAACACCTTCTTGTTATATGAACATTGCAAAAGAACCTAGTAGGCTGTTATATTTGATCCACCTTAAACTTACCCTTCTAATGAGTGTTGTTTCCCTGCTCGCTTTTCTTTCTGCTTGTTCAACTCTTCATGTTAGTGTTAATTTCCCATAATGTACAAGAAAGTGGAATCTGCTTCATGTACATAATAACCAAATCAGTTTGTGAATACTTGATTCCACCAATGCCATTAATTCCGATATTCACAAACAAATGCATCTGGAGCTTTACGAGGTGAAATTGAAAGTCAAAAAGACTAAATATATTTGTGGTAAAAAGTGTTGAATCTATCGTGCCTGGCTGGAGTTAAATTGAGGTAAACAAACGCATTGCCGGGCTTTATTGATCAAATAATTACATTCTATAATAATAGATCATTCTTACAAGAATATAAGAACTCTTGAACTGTATATATGTAAAAAAAATAACAGAAAATTATAAAAAAATAACTAGTTACATCATATATACATGTTAATATACATGATATATATGTTAATATATATTACATACGTGTAATGTATACATGTTGATTTAGAGGCGACACATGTATATTACGTCATCAGTATATTACGTCACATGTATATTACTGATCAGCTGATCAGCTGTGCGTCACAGCTGATCATCAGCCGGTCACCAAAACAGTCCAGTGATCATCCATCCGGTACTACAATAACTCCAGTCAGGTACAATAGCTACAACACTATTTGTCAGCATCGTAATGTGGATTTTTAACAATTAATGGCATCTGAATGGTTAATTAACTAGTGTCGCAAGATTAAGTTTCTCTTAGGATACAACACCATTTTTAACAATGGTGTGTAGTAGGAACTGGTGCACCAGGAATTGCTTTTATTTACCTGAATTTACCTGTGGACCACTGATACTATTGGTCTCGATTAAGATAGGAAGCCAGCGGCTTGTCAAAGGTCCCCCCCCCCCTTATTTGCCCTGATCTTTTCCAGTTGTATTTTAAAACTCAGCAGTGTTTTGGAGTTGACGGCTTCGGCGGGTAGGCGGTTCCACGGGTTTACAACCCTATGGGGGATTTTTTTTTTTTTTTTTTTTTTTTTTTTTAAAGGTATATACAAGAGTTGTTACATTCTTGTACAGCCACTAGTATGCATAGTGTTTCGGGCAGGTCCCTGGAATACGATCCCCGCCACGAAGAATCATTGTTACAACCAAGTACACATTTTACTGTCGAGTTAAACAGAGGCTACAGTTAAGGATTTGCGCCCAGTAAATCCTCTCTGGCCAGCATACGAACCCATGACAAAGCGCTCGCGGAACGCCAGGCAAGTGTCTTACCACTACACCACAGAGACTGGTAATCCTATCCCTATCTCTTGGTTCATGTCCTACATTGTGGTCACACTGCTTCTCAGGTATTACTAAACAGTTGCATAAAAAACAGTAGCGAACTGTTTAAACCTCGTAGCAAGTATATTATGTCAATAATATACCCACTCCAACCTCTCATTAGCTTAATGAGATGGGTTTGTTCAATATATGATTTAACTGGAAAGAGATATTGCACTACTTTTTGATTTGTCGAGTCCTAAGACACTGTGCATGTGTTCAGATCTTACATTTCAAGTTTGCAATCTGTAGAATATGTATAATAAATATATAGTTTTGAGAGCTTTTGGATCACACATCACTGATACAAAACAAAAGCCTTGCACATTTATCATTATTATTCTGAACTGACACTTGAGTGTAGAATATTAACTTAATATCTGAAGATCATAATTTAGTCGGTCATTTATATTACTGCATAACTATTCATGTAATCAAGCTTAATGTGTCTTTCCCTATCCTCTGAAATTATCCTCTGAGAGCATATTTAAAACCAAATTCTATGTTTTTTTTTTCAGTTAGAGGTTTTTGCTTAGTAAAATATGGGCCCTCTTTCCATTGAAAATAAGATTTCAAGTCTTGGACGTGGGAAATATGCTAGATGTGGTTAAATCTTTTACAGACAGGTTCTCTTGCTTGTTTCCTTTCATATGACAAGTTGAAATTATAGTTTTGTTCAGTGAAATCGGCCCATAGAGCATGGGAAATGCATTCTGGAGACATCTCCAATTGCAACAAATCGGAGTTGGTCCCATATAGTTTGTTGAATCGAGGTTGTACCGTACTCTCATATTAATATCCTACAGCTTCAAACATATCCTCTCAGTCATATCCTTCAGTTCCCAACATATCCTCTCAAATTCATGTCATTTAGCATCAGACATGTCCTCCCATATTACTTTAGTATCCTTCAGTATGTTGTCTGATTCCTCAATCATGCTTCATATATTTTGCTCTTACTGATCCTCAGGGGTGCATTAGGGGTGAGTGTGTGGGGCAACGAAGAAGTTCACGAAGGTGTGACTCAGTCTGTCCGCTCTCTTGACAACATCAACAGCATGGTCCACTCACTCAGCAATCAGGTAATAATGGCCTGTATGTGTTTCTTGTTCAGATTTTCAAGGGCCAGAAAGTATTAGGCTTCTTATGGAATTTAATTAACTTAGTCATTATTTTGCTAATAATAATATGCGTATGATTTTGAGGAAATACAGTTTTTGGCTATACTGCATAATATGTTAGCTATTGTATTCAAATTAGTTTTTAGAAAAGTAATGGAGTCAAGTTAGTAAGTAGGGAGTAATTTACTATTAATGAGTAAACTAGTTTTAACAGTGATTGAATTATTGTACATTTATACGATTCATGCTCGAAACAATTAGGATCCCAACATAATAATCCAAGTCTTCACTAGTATTTTTAACAATCATATATGCATATATCTACTCGTCTAAAGTTTTATAAAATACTACCAGCATATGTTTTCCTGTCATTAAAATATATGTGTAGGCTAGATGTGTCAAACCTGAGTTAGATATGAGGGCATTACCAATGCATGATAATCATAAACATGAGAATAGGACAAGGGAAGATTTTGAGTTAAGAGTTGCTTAAGCTAGATTAAAACCAGGAAAGGTTCCCGAGGGTAGATGGAATATTGGTATGTTTATTTATTAATGGATCATTCTTAACTGCATGCTGAAATGTGTGTATATTCTTAACAAATTGGGACAGTCGAGTTAAAGATAAGTCCCATTTACAGAGGATTACCAGACATAGGAAATTTGTTTTCAATATAGTGTTTCAAACATCTTTATTTCTGTATCTTATACATTTGATTGACCACGTGTCTAATAGTTATAGTTTTACAGTATACACTTATATACACATAAATTTATATACGTAAATTATTTAGTATTGGATGATAAAATGTCACTTTATTTTGTTTGGTATTACAGTGTATGCTGTCAGATGAGGGGAAATTGCTTTAATTTTTTGTGCAAGATGGAATTTTTATGAAAATTTGTAATTATTGCAAGATACCTTATTATAATCAACATAATTATTGACTGTGATGTGAAGTAAGTTTCTCAACACTATGTAATTTAGTGTTGAGAAAATGCCCACCATGTTAATGTGAAAACATCCCTTGGATTGGAATGGAACCGTTCCTGTCCACTGTGTCAGTAGCATGTGAGCAGTTCTTTAGTGTTATCAATTTGATTCTCTCGCCCAACAGACGAAACTGTTCGACGAAACGATCCGAAGGAATTTACAGCCACAATTAAACCTCTTCAAGGAGACAATCCAGTCGGGAAAGATCAAGAATGCAACCGTTGAAATGTTTATCATTGAGAGTCTACACTATATGCAGGGCAACATATCTGAGGTCCTTCTCATCAATGTTGAGGACATAAATGCCATGGTGGGTCATCTTTTGTTTAATATATTATTTATTCTTGTTTTCTTCCTCTCAAGAATTTGAGTGTAAATGTGTAATTTAGCCAAGGTTGGATTTTGTTGCTTCAGTCATCTAGAAATTAAAGAGGTTGATATTGCAAAATACAGAATAGTAACTATTTTGTGGATGCTTTTCTTACTCATTTTCTGTGTACTGCTAGTTGTTTATTTATGTGGTTGTTGCTTTTTATTATGTGTTCAATTGTGGATGCAGTATGAAAACAATTATTTGCTTCTAATTTGAAATTTATAGTATCATTTTACATCAGTTATTGCCATTTAAAAACCAATAGTTGTAGTTTAAAGTACAATACTGGTAGCTTAAGCTTTTGCTCGGAATCAATGAAATATACTAAAAGGTGCCCAGATCACAAATTTTTAAGACAATAGTTGCTTTTTTTTTCTTTAAGCTGTGTCGTCTAGGATACACAGCCAAACTCCAGTTAAGTAAAGCTGAACGTTTTCTTGTTCTGTAACAAGTTAATTTTTTGTTATTAAAATTTCTTTTGAAGATTGAAATTTAATTTCAGCATGTTTGCCTTATCTGTCTTTGCTCATTTGATACCTCTTTGTGAAAACTTCTTAGAGGTTCCCCCTCCCCCATGTGAAATCTTCAGACATTGCACCATATACTGTAGTAAATATCTGTTGAAGGAGCACTTGAAATATGATTTTCTTTTTAATTGTAATCATTTGATTACTGGCAATGTATCTTGCAGATGTCAGGAGCAGAGATGGGAGGTATGGTTCGCCTACTTGGAGTAGGAGAGTTAGGGAGATGGGTGGCGACGCTGGGGATCACAGGAATGCTCATGATGATTGTGTTGGTTGTCATGATTGGTGTCGCTCGCCACTCACGATGCACGCTAATTACGTAAGATGTTTTCCATTTCAGTTATTTACTGTATTCTGTATGCATGCAAGTGAACGGGTTAAATATGGGAGTGTGTAATTACCAAAGTCTACTGTAGTTTGAGGGGTGAGACCATGGTGTTCTGTTGTCCCTATAATCTTTGTCATACAGAGTTTTGAAGCTTTGAATGGTATTGGTGTGCACTGTCCAATAGCACTGTTAATTCACAACTGAAATGTCTCTAGTGTTCCCTTAGGAGTAAATAGACAGGTTTTCAAGATGTGTTCTTGTGCCATATTTTTGTCCTTCAACCATACATAATAAAGTTTCATATGTATCCAAATATATTGCAAATACTGTACTGTATTAGTACTGTATATAGCTTTACAGTACTACTGTCCGTATATGAGCATTTATGCCTACAGGTTCTCGGTTCTGGGTCTTCTTGCCATGATCCTGTGTTGGGGTTTGACTTCAGTCTACCTGGTGGCTTCTGTTGTGAGTATATATTGAATAATTTTGGATGTCATAATACATAATGACAACATAACTCGAGAAATTGTAGAGTTGTGGTAAAATTATTGTAATGGATAAGTGTATACTAACTGTACTGTACTACAGTTAGACAATATATAATGCTATATGTTATTAATGAAAGCTTTATGCAGGCTCTGTCAGATTGGTGTATGGATCCCAATCCTTTCCTTGAGGATCAGCTCAGCAAACTGGTATCAAAAGATGTCGCTGCTTACTATCTACGATGCGATCCAACACGACCATCACCATTCACTCGTTACCTAACCCATGCTCAACAGGCAGCGAATCTTGTATTAGACTCCCTCAATAAAGTCACCCGTATTGCAGATGTTTATTACGAACGAAAAGAGGTCAGTGATGATTTATAATAGTTCTGTATAGTAATACTTTATAATAGTATTGCTAAGGGACTTTCTTTAAATATATAATGCTTCATTTCAACATAATTTTTGTAATTCCATCAAATATTTCCCAAAAGGAGAAAGTAGTGTATTGGTTGGCTTTTTGCATTCTAGCAGTACATTAGAAAAAGTTGTACTGAATAATCTATGGTTCCAGTACTGAACCTCAGGCTTCAACCCCCCCCTCCTCCCCTTTCCCCATGGTGGTTAATTTAACTTTTGCCTCCTTTACATTTCCTGTTTAATGCTGGTTCCCATTCCATTTCTCTCCAGTTTTCCTCACCTTTGCATGTCTGTCCTTTCAAATGTGCCGCCTCCTTTCACTAAATTTTGTTTCTCGGTGCAAATAAGGGTGGCAATTTTACTTTCATAATGATCAGAATTGGATGTACAATACTTTGACAAGTGTTCCACACTGTACTTCAGCAGATAATACTGGAAGATACTTTATAGGTCAATATATGATTGACCATCTTCATTTGGTCATCCTTTCAGGAAAGGTTTCAAAATGGACAACCAATCAAATATTGAATTGCTTAAGCATTTACTGCATTAAATGTTCTGTAAGAGTTCAGTATACTTGCTAATGATTTGTTGAATAATTTACTAGAGTTACACTGCAAAAGTCATAGAATAATTTGATTTACAGGGATCACCTGTGTATTCTTCATATTATATTTTATTTATTGTTCAGAGCCTAGGTTCTCTTGGATACTCCCTATGCCATGAGCTATTATGGTCCATTCTCGACTCACTCTTACCTTATGCTTGGCTCTCATTGACTTTATTCCCCACTGTGGCACTTTGCAAATAGTCTGACCAAGGATATTATTGAAGGGAGACTGTGGCAAGTATAATTGAAGCCAACAGAGAATAACTAGTTAGCAGTCATATGAAAGAGTGAGCAATACCATCAATACTCTTTGCAAACAATAATTAGCAACACAAAGAATGCCAATTATTACTGCTAACTACTGGTGGAGAAAATAATCTACATATACCACCATCAGGTGATAGCACATGAGACTACAATACTGTAGTGTGTCGATGAAGATGGTAACCCTGCTTTAAGCTCGGACCATCCAAGCAATCTTAGAGAAGATGTGTGAAATTGGGTTGGAATGAAAGCACCCAAAAAAATTTCTTGGGAAAAGTATTTTACTAAGCTCGACACATTTTCTGAGTTGGAGAACATCACCTTCTATATATAGGTGATTCTAATATAAAAATGTATGTAGGGTTTATAGAAGAAGATTTTAGGCAATAGATAAGCACAAGGAAAGTAAGAGTTGATAGCAAAAGTATTGGGATTTGGAACTGTAAAGTAGGCTACACACTATTACAAATTTCAGAATGGCTTTAACATAAATGTACATTGATCATTGTAAAATAAAACAAAAAAAATAGTGTTGGCCTATTTAAGCAAAATGAATGGAGCTAAAATGATAGTAATTTAAATTACATTCTGGAGGAGGTATGAAGTAAGTATTGTAGTTGTGTGTAAATAGGTACCTTTTCTTTCATAGTTCAGGGAAAGTTCTCGGATGATACAAGGAATTGGCAAGGTGGGCAATGAATGTGACTTAAAATATTATTTTAGTAATAGTGTTAATGCACGCTTCAAGAAAATAGCAAAAATCAGCCTTTACCATGATTCTTTTAAGGGTTATTAATATTCCATTCTTTATTGCACTCTTATTTTTCCTTGTTTGTAAGCTTGCGTGTGTCTTCTTCGTTTTCAGTTGAATACATGTATAGTAAATGACCTTGTTGAAAGTAGCGTATTTTTTGTCAGATTCACCCTCGCTTGGACCATTTAGGGGCATTTGTGAACCAGTCGCAGCGTAGTCTGGGAGGTGTAGCAGCATTGTTGGAGTGTCAGTCTCTGCACCACCACTACCGCACAGCCCTCAATGCTACGTGCTACCAAGCTATGTAAGCAAATATAAGCTTTATTTTAATATTACTACCTCATTACTGCTAACAGTATATAATCAGTAGATGATACTCATAGAAACTTAGTACTGTACTGTAATCTCAAATCACTTGTTTCAACTAATTTTGTATAAAGATTTTAGTAGCTCTCGGTTACTTAAATATACAGTGCAACCTCGATTCAAAGAACTACTGTACACTGTACAGTAGTTCTTTGAAACTCTCTCTCACTGTAATGAATTGAGGTTGGTCCCATACAGTTAGTTGAGGTGAGGTTGTACAGTACATAGGACCAACCCAAATTTGTTGCAGTGAGGGGTTTGTTGGAACCAAAGATGCCTCCAGGAGGCCAGTATTTGTAAATGCAAACTGGGAAATCTTAAATAAAAATGAACCATAAAATGTAATTTTAAATGTACTCGTATGGCTTTCCCAAGATCCCCACTCGTTCTTCTAATGTTGCATCCATCTACGAAAATCATTAAAAAATGTGACTGGAGCCATATTAACGGTTACCATTCACACTCTAATATTTCCCACGCTCTATGGGCTGATTTCACCGAGTGAAATTTTAATTTCAATATACAATTTCTAACAATATACAGGTAATGGAATTTCTTTGAATGAATAATATATATTGTCTGTAATTGACTCAATTTATTATTAAAGGCAGCTTGATATTATAACTTGATCTTTAGGTCTGGTGTAGTGTACCTACTTCTGTCAGCTGCTGGAAGTGGTTTGCTCTTCACCATTTTGGTCTGGATTACATCCCACACTTGGATCTACCTCAACCACAAGTGAGTGTTTGGTTGAATTAATTGTACCTTGGAATGTGTGAATACTTAAACAGCCTGATTTATTTTTGATGGAAGAAGGGAAAGAAAGAAAGAATATATTAATAATACAGTACCTACATTGTAAAACTGGAATTTTTTCTTTTCAGAACAAATATTATAGATATACAGGTATATATATATAACATTTATAGCAGTAAACATGCAAAGTATTGTGTGATTCAAAGCCATTAAGAGATTAGAGACAATACGTAGAAGCATATTTATTTTAATTTTGCAGTTCAGTAAAAATTAAAAAAAAAATAAATAAACAATGAGGAGATTAACTTTCAAAGTTCTACATTATAATTAATAAATTAAAGGGCATCTATATCCCGGTTGATGACGCATTATATAAACAACATCTTATTTTAATTAGAAATGTGTATTGATTTGAAATGATGACCAAATTTCTAGAAAATGTCAAGCAGAGGTCAGAAAGTGCCTTGTAAAATTAGGAATTATTAACATTTCAATAATTAGCTCATGAGTAAGAGAGAGATTCTGTCATCAATTGTTTCTAGAGGATGTGGCTGTCACTATGTAATGAATTAAGTGTTTGTTCAAGTGGTGTGGAGTTAACGAAGAATGTACCATTAGCACTCATTTACAGACTATTCTAATTGGCATGCACTCTCTGTCGAGCATATTCTGTTTAATTGCTGGGAATGTGTTCAGTTATTACATCTACATTAAAGCATTTATGATTTAGTTTTTTTCAAGGATATGAATGTGGCCAACTTGCTATAATTGCAAAATGATGCACCAAATCACACATTAGTACCAGGACTTGGCCTTGTGACAAAATGTTATTTTGTCCTTGTGTAATGGTGGCATTGTGTAGTTTAAAGCATGCATTTGTGTAAACTATGACGTGTCCAGTTGAAAAGCTGTGTCCTGAGCTAGTTACTAATAGTGCCGAATGCCTTTTATGATGGTGTAACATTCATGAAGTAATAGTACTGATGCTTAACATTAAAAAAACAAAAGGGGGAAAAAAAGTGCCCTAATGATGTTTTCACTTGGTTTTTGTGTACTCACTTGTAATGAAGTATTCCTCAAATTCTAAATTACCAAGATGCTATTGATCAGTGGCAGCAGAAAAAGTAAACTGTAAATTTCCTTACAGTTTCCTAAATAAATAAATATACAGGTATATGTCAAACTTTTCTCTTGGTTGTATTTTAAAATATATTGTCATGCTAATTGTACTGCTTTTGTTATACAGTATTTAAAGCAGATGCTTTTATATATATATATATATATATAATATATATATATATATATATATATATATATATATATATATATATATATATATATATATATATATATATATATATATATATATATATATAATTAGAAGAATAAAGTCTAAGATGAGGCTTATTAGCTTTTAAATAATTTAAGTTCACTCATTTTCTGCTTTTGCCTTTTTTTCTTTTTGTTTTTTGTTTTTACAATTGTTGATGCTTATAAAACAGTGTTGAAGCTCCATGCTTTGTCTTACAGCTTTACCTACGGGAGAGCTGCATAAACATGTTGTATTCGTCATAAATTGTTTCAAAAGAGCTTTCAAAAGCCTTATAACATTTAAAGGTGGCTGAGATATTCATAGGTTTTTGCATGAGGCTGTCTCTTCCAGCAGTGGCAGGTCCCTGAGGTAATGAGGTGTTAATGATGGGGTAGATGTAGATTGCTGTAGCATGTTACATTATTATACTGTATTCTTTATGGATGATTAATGTTTGTATGTTAATATCATACCCTATATCAGATTTGGTCCTTAAATATTATATTTACATCCTTAATTGTTAAATTTGCTCTAATATGGAAAACTGGTGTCTATTTAGTTTTGCTACAGAAACAAAAACCAATTGACTCTCAGTACTATACTGTATATCACCTAACTCTTTTCATAGGTTAAATTATGTTGTAATTGCCACAACAAATTGCCATATGCACTTTATATAACTATATGCAAACACACTGCATAGAGATCTGTGGCACTATGTTACTAGACGAAGATGATGTACAGATGTCAAGTCTAGTAATTATTGAATGCCATGAGGTATGTTAGTGCCTTACTCCATTTCTGCTTCAGAAGAGGCTCAACTAGGTCCAGTTCCACACAGCCAAGCGGCAAGAATATACAAGCTGTCAGAGTTTGGCTCAACACTCCACCATCCCATCCAGCAGCTATTGTGTAGGAGCTCTTAATAGATCAGTTTTACTTGTACAGATACCTTGTTTCTTTCATTATACCTGCTTACTAAAAGAACAAGCCACAAGAGTACTTTCCGTTCTTCTTACGTTTGTTTGTTAATGACCAGTGGCTTCCAACTCAAGTAGGGTCATGTGCACAGCACACATTTAGTTTTTTTACCAACTTCTTGAAATACCATTAATAGATAAGACTGTATATACAAATAGTATAAACATGAGTGAATTAGCTTTTCACATGGATAAATTCATTTGAACTAGTGAGGCTATTACATTAGAAGTTAAGGTTTAAATCTTAGTTTTAAGACCTGAAATATAGTACTTGTCCTGGAATCCTCGAGGAAAGTCTTCTAAGCAGAGCATTCTGCAGTGAGACCTGAACCAAATCTTCTGTGATAAAATTTATAGAGCTGCCGAGTGTTCTTGATAATTTGGTTTTTTGTTCTCTCAGTTTATTGCTGGTGGTGAACAGCAATGGCATAGCATATTGCCGTATAGCAGATTCCCATTAAATAGCGGACCAAATCCCTGTATCATATCACCTCCCTGAAATTCAAATGTTTTAGAAATTAATCCAGAATCTAGTGAGGAATTTGAATCTGTGAAATTCAAATCATTACATTAAGTAATTTTCAGCAGATCATATTTTCTGATACAGTCCTCTCAGTGGCTCTTCAAGCTAAGTGCCGGTCCAGCCAAGCCTTGGAGAGATGCACCAGGCCTCCGAGACCCAACCTTGCATTGGGAGCCAGGACCAGAATGTCTGTGGCCAAGAGAGCTTAGGCATCAAAATGGATTGTTCTGGCATCCCAAACCATTTCTGTATCCATTTCTGTGGTTTTGCAGTTGCCATTGTTTTTTTACATGCTGATTCAGGCTTACTTTCCTCTCACATTTGTGAGCAGCTGCTAGTATGTTGTATGAGCTCAGTTTTGCCTGTGCCCTGCAGTGGTGGCTGTTGATCTCTTCCTTTGTGGCATTGGCTTTGGCCTCACTTTCTCTTAGTGACCCCAGTGTTTTTTAGACTTTGAAAGGTCCGGAGTTCTATAGGCCCCTTTTGTGTCCTTTCCTTGCTTTTCAAGGAGTGGCAGTCCCTGCTGCTGAACGGCCCCTTGGTATTGCTCTTGGGTGCTACCTGTAATTACTTAAGTGTAGTTACAGGACGAGAGCTATGCTCTTGGTGTCCGGTCTTCCCAATACTCTGTCATACCATGCTTTGAAACATCTGCTAGATTTGACCTCCACCACCACCTCACTTCGAACCGTCAACCACTCTGTTTGCAAAAGTGAACATTCCAATGTATTTTTGGCAGCATTGTTTCCTTAGTTTGAACCTGTGTCCTCTTGTTCTTGAGTTGCAGTTTTAAACAATTCTCCTTTGGCAATTTTGTCGATACCTGTTGCTATTTTGTAAGTAGTGATCATATCGCCTCTTTTTCTCAATCTTCTAGCTTTGGTATCTTTAACACCTTAACCTCTTCTCATAGCTCTTGTTTTTCAGTTCTATGAGCCATCTTGTTGCATGTCTTTGCAAATTTTCTGGTTTATTGATGTGCTTTTTGAGACATGAGCACCATACAACCAGTGCATATTCCATTTTTTTTTAATATTTTGCCATCCACGTACTTAAAAAAAAATAAAAATTTGTAAGGTGTAGCATATATTCCCCACACAGTGTCATTTATGAGGTCCTTAGCTGACAGTTTTCTATCCAGGACCACCCCTGGATCTCATTCTTTATCAGAATTCTTTAAAGCTTTTTCACATAGTTTATCCTATTTGTGGCCTATTTTCTCCTATTCCCCATTCCATAATGTGGCATTTATTCACATTAAAGTCTATTTGCCAAGTGTTGTTCCATACACTTAATTTGTCCTGACATTCAGGCTCGTGGGTTTTGCCATTCAAATAGGGTGCTGACTGCACTATATTCCTGGGTCATGCCATGCTTGTGTGGCATTGGGTAGGGTTACTTACCCAAATTTCTTATGTGTAATGAGATTGGTCCTCTGAGTGGCCCCCCCTCCAGAAATCCAGCATCGATTGTAATGAAACGTTCTTTCCGGTATGTCCCGCAGTGACTCCCTGTTCCTGAGCTGCTGGAGCTGCCACCTGGCAGTGAAATGGTGTAACTAACAGTGCTAATGATTTGACTACTGTGTTCCTAGTTGCCAGTTGTGCTTATATTTTCCTTGCCATTGTGTGTATCGGTGCACTACTGGTGGTATTTCCTCTTAGTTTTGATATTTTTGATTGATCTATTACTCCCAATTTCCTATGCTTCTTTAAGTCAACCAGATTTTGTCACTGATGTTTCATTACACTCAACTTCGGGGGGGAGGGGTTTCTCTTTCCTTCGAAGATCTCTTTCAAATCACTCTTCTTCTTGTCTTTGATGACAAGCAATAAGGTGAGTGAGCTACATACGCTGCTTTGTCACCCTGTGCCTATTTTGTTAGGTCTTTAGTGCTCCTTTGTGCACTGTCCAACCCTTTCATTCTCGGCCAACAATTAGACTCGGGTTTGAGGAGGGGTTCTGTAGTGGTTCCGGTAAGGTTCACTTATGCTGCACTACACCATGACTTAAGTTATGTGGCATTTATATAAAACTCAAGCCTTTCCTGGAGCAGTCTTACATCAAAGAATCTGCCAATCAACTCCATAACTACTGTACTGTAATTATTAAGTTGATCCACTAGGTCACTCCCAACTACATGTACCATCAAGTGGCAGCACTGTCACTACATTCTGCCTGAACTGAATATTTAACCATCAAGCACACAGAAGACGAGAGAGAAAGGTCAGGAATTTGAGCTAGCAAGGGTAAAAAAAAGTGCACTGTATATGCATTTAACAATTTATTTCTGACCTGTTCTACTCTGTTCCTCCTGAAGGTAAATGTTAGTGGAAGCCACTGTAGAATTGGCAAGAGGAACAGCCACATTAACACTCCCAGAACCCAACCACATTAGAGGACACAAAGTTTATGCTAATGAAAGAAAGCCCACGGCCACATACTAACAGTTTTAACAGCAAATTTGCAGTACTGGCAGGCATGTGTATGAGTGGGTTTTCAAAACCACTGAGCTCTGATTTTTATTTCAAGACAACAGAGAAACATGCCTTCAGTATGATCATCTGGAGAACATAGGTACAAGAAAAAGCATGTCACTTACTGAGCTGGACCATTCTGTGAAGCAACTGGAAGATACCAGCTATATTATATGGAAACATGATATAAGGATTCAGAGATTTTGAGGTGGAGTGCCAAGAGGCAAACGGGTACCGGCTCAAAAATGCACGTTTTGTATATACTGTGTATATTTTGGACTGGGTTGAGTGTTTACCAGTGTCTCCTTGGCACTGTTATGGCCAGGTAGGGACAATTTTAAAAGTTCCCTTCTGTATCAGTGCAGAATGTCAACCTGCCCTCACTGCTGGATCCTGTCCAAGGGAGCAACTGAGTGTACTATTCATTAAGGTTTTTTCATACATACTCAAAGCCTGAGTTTTAAGAGAACTTCATAATTGTATTCATCATGAGGTGGGCAGAATGTTCTTCTTTTCCTGGTAAGGCTTTCCTCCTCGATGGCTCCCCAAGCTAGTATTTTAGTTAGCTTCAAGACTAGCATATACCCACCATGCCCCTTGTGAGTCATAAACACCTACTAGAGACCAGATGTAGAATCTGATCAACTCATTAGAGACGAAGGGTGTCTAGGGATACTAGATGAAGTGATGCCAAGAGGAAAACTCGCCAAAAATATAGAGCACCTCATAACAAGCAACTGCATGGAGAAACACTGAGAACTGTCAACTGTATATATACACACACATTAGCCAGTTAGCCCTGCTAGTTAGCTCAGTTCAGAGCAGTTCAGAGTACTGTACCAGCCAGTCAGTCACCTCTGTCATGCACCTGTTGTGACTTAATGAACAGCTCTTCATGCTCCTTTGTTCTATATGGCTTCATTTTCAGATAAATTTTGGCCCTATTTTAGCCTCTGTCCCTGGTGTTCTGCAGGGCCTGTGTTTTGCATTACTTCATGTGCATGTGTTTTTAGTTTTCTGCTGAGCTATTTCTACCTTTTTTGAAGATAGGGGTGACATTAGCATAATGTATTTCCAATCTGGGGGAGGTGTTCCTTGGTCCAGAGATATTCTGAAAAGGAGTGTCAGTGGTAGGCATAGTTAATCTGCCAGTTCCTTTATGACTTTGGATTGAGTTCCATCCACATCTGGTGCTTTTGAGTCTTTTAGTTTGTTAGTGCTCTTCCTGATTATGGCGCATGTTTTGGGCATATCCCTTAATTTGTTCTCTTCACCTCCTTCAAACATTTGTGTGGGTAATGGGATGTCATCTGATGTCGTTTCTAGTGTGAACACATGTATTCTTTCAGAATGTTTGCTGCACTTTTATCGTCTTATTACTTGGTTAGTCTCATCTTTCAAGGGGTCCTACCTACCTTTGTTTTGGTTTTACTACTTAGATAGGCATGGAACAACTTTAGATCTTTCTTTGCTTTTGGCAAGTTTTCTTTTAGATAATCTGACTTCCTGGGTGGCTGTATTTAATACCCTTTTATATATCTCATAATCAATGATGTTTATCATGAATTTATACCTTCTCCAGAGGTTCCACTTAGTTATTAAAGCTCTTGTGTCGTCCATCTAGTTCCATTTCCTTTCTTTCACCTTTTTGACACACATTTTTGAACGAGTTCAGTGATGACCTTCTTGAAATTTTCCCCATGATGTTTCCATGCCATGGTCCCCTATTGGCTCCCTCCAGGTGGTGTTTTGCAGTTTTTTTCTCATTCCTAAATAGTGCAGGCGATGAGTCACAATAACGTGGCTAAAGTATGTTGAACAGACCACACACTTGAAGGTGAAGGGACGACGACGTTTCGGTCCGTCCTGGACCATTCTCAAGTCGATCGTCCTTGATCATTCTCAATCGACTTGAGAATGGTCCAGGACAGACTGAAATGTCGTCGTCCCTTCACCTTCTAGTGTGTGGTCTGGTCAACATATCCTAGATAGTCTCCTTGAGGGTAATGTAGAAAGTCATTATCAGGGATCTTTGTGGGTTCCTATCATTGTAACCCATCTTAGATTATCTAATGAGTCCATCTAGTGTGTGTGTGTGTGTGTGTGTGTGTGTGTGTGTGTGTGTGTGTGTGTGTGTGTGTGTGTATATATATATATATCTATCTATCTATCTATCTAATGAGTATAGGTTTGCTAATGTTTTGTATGCTGTTACTAGTTTTGGGGTGTTTTACCTTTCTGCTGGTTTTTCCTCTTGGCTTTAGTTAATCTAGTATTCCCAGATGCCCTTTGTCACTTTGGACCATATTGTGCTTCTGGTCTGTGGTAGGTGCTTAAGATTTATACATGCCTGGTTGGGTACACTAGCCTCGGGGCTAACCAGGTGGCTAGCTCGGGGAGCTATGCTGGATTTGTTTCAGATTGCATAATTCAGTATTGTTTTAGTATTGAGATATGCCTGGCATTGCAGCCTAAGAATACACTCCTCAATCAGATACAATACAAAATAGCTATTACAGGTATTTAGTACAATATTTTCCCATTGAGGTTCAGTTTACATTGTTGGAAGGGATATACTATTGTCTTTAATTATATATATTATATTGTTAATGTTGTTGTAACTCTTGTTGTAACAGAGCTGAACCTGGCGTATCAGAAGAACGTGACCCATTCTTACCAGGCCGAGGGTCAAGAGGAGGAACACTGACTTCTCTTGGGGCACCTGGTTACTCGAGACCCCGTCACTCGCACACACCACCTCAGACGCCACCATTTCCTGGGACTTTGTAAGTTTCTTACTTTTGTTAAGTGATTTTATAAATGAATAGCCCTTAATAGATTATGCAACAAAATTTGGCAGTAAAGTATTAAAAGTTTTTGTTAACTATAGAACAAGGAACAGATATTGATTCTATAAAGTTACACAATTTATTTGTGATAAATATTTTTGTAAATATCTACACACCAATTATTTCTTATAGTAGTATGGAATGAGAAGAAAGTTACTTTTCCTTGTGTATTATATATTATGTTTGTGTAAAGGCAGGAGTTTATGTGTGTCTTTTGTCTTCCACCGGTTATGGTGGATAGCTGATGCTGTATTATGTTTGATATAAATTATGGGCTTTAGCTTTAATATTTATTATCGTTGTGTTGAAATATTGGGATTATATCCCCCTATTTTTTTTTAAGAAATACTGTATACAGTACAGTATTTAGTTTAGAATAGTTATGTAACACATAGGTTCAATGAAGTGGGCTTAAGATTTCATTAATAATACTGCCTAATGTTAAAGAGGAATGAGAGATTACTAGCTGCTCTTGTATATCACCAGTTATTGCTTCTCTCATAAAGTGCTAAGATCTTAACAGCTGAAGCCCCAGTGGTTTTCTTTGTCTTGAAGATGTTGATTGAATGGTAAGATGTATACTCTAAAATGTGTGAATATTTCTGCATTTAACCACTGTACTGCAAACACCGTGATATCATGGTTAAAGGATGTGCGCCAACCAGCATATCACGCTTGTTAGTATATCGCTTGATTCAAAACTCCCGTGGGTACAGGGCTTACATCCTGTTCTTCGGGATTCCAATAAACAGACGCCATCTTGAAGGAATGTCGTCGACATCCCTCCTGGCTGTGAGAGCCTCAGTACTACCAGAGCAACCAAGGCTGGCGCATACAGCTGGAGCTCACAGCACAGCCGTGTAGGTCGGGGCCACACCACCACTTAATAATGAATAAAAAGTAACTCCAATTATTTTGCAATGAATGTCATACATGATCCTGACTGTGATAAAACTATGTACAACGTTCAAATATCAGTGAACACAATGCTAGTTATGATATTCACAATATAGTGACAGGAATGTGATAATAATAGCAGTTCTGTGACTAGTTTTAGTTATGTGTGTGTGTGTGTGTAGTATATTGAAAGCATTTTCTAGCCTCTGGTGACATCTGTTGGTGTCGTTTTCTCATATTGTGTGGTGCCACCGTGTTTGGATTTCATCAACGCACCCACCAAAACTTTTTATTGGTTTGTAGTATGCAAAAAATTTTGATTTCTATACATGAAAAGTGTATATAGTGTAATAACGGCAAAAACTGTTTGTCTTATTGTTCAAAGAATATAATACTTAAAGTTGTATTAGTACATGACATGAATACTGTATATCTGTGAGTGCCAATAATCTACACATTCTGTGATACAAATAATATTATTGACACCCCCCAATGCATCATTACACTTGGAAAAAATCATGGTAAAAACATTGCAATATGAAGAAGAAAATATTTTCAATGCATACTGTTACAACTATACATACGCAGTCCAGGACTTAGCTGAACTCTGGTAACCAGTTATAAAATTATTACATTCACTAGAAAGGCTTAATAGTTTGTCATGATGCAGAAAATTGTAGATAATTATATATATAATGTGTGCATCGAGTGCAATACTGTATAAGCAAAATCATTAAGTTACTGTATATTGCTCTAAAAATATAATGTTTGATTAAGATGTGCGTACCATATTTTTTAGCATAGTGATGTTCCACACTTTTGTCTACATAAATTTCTCAAATTGCACACAATTGAATAATAATACTGCAAAAGACCAAACAAAAAATCATTCAAGACATTGAAATACTGTACAGTAATTATGTATAATTATATTTGCAGAAACTCCCGTAGCCACGGAGCTTCTTTGGCTACCTTTACCAAGCAAGCAATACTCATAAATTGCTCAACTTCCCTGCTCTATCATGGCCAAAGTATATCACCTAAAAGTATTGTTTAGTTCTCCTATGACCAGGAATCGAATTTTAGCAATATTAGAAAAAATGGGAATTTATTTTATGCGCACAGGGGACTTGTCATATTAAGCTAACATGCAGTACAGTGGTTAATGACAGTGCTTAAATGTAACTTTCATTAGTCATGAGCAACAGGATAGCTGCCCTAATTGATTTTTGGAGACAAAGGCACTTATGATACTTAACTTTGAGCTGGAAAGAATTTTTTGTGGATGTAATCATAAGCGAATGTCATAGACTTGGACGTACAGTTTGCCTGGTAAATTGGTGGGCACCTTTTCATGCCTCAGGCTATGTATGGTCTCGCACCAGGATGTATATAATCTTGTTAAGTAGGATATCTACGTAAAATGTGCATAATGCCCTACTCAGAGATGAAATTTATCATAAATATTACATTATTGGCAATATAGATCTCGGAACAGTTAGTAATTGTTCATAGATGAGCTGATGTTAAGTGCATTAAGTAGGGATTATTTATTCTCATTAATGTTTTTCACTCTTTCCAGTGGTCATGTTCACATTGCAATGCTACATAAGTCAAGCATACTTCCATTTAAATTTATTTTCATTATAAGTCTTGCATCCCTAGTCTATCCTCCTGTTTAGATAATACTCAGAGTAACGATGTGGACCATCGTACATATATTGACATAATGGACAGTTAAATAGAAGAATTTGGATAAACCAGAAAAGATTTTGCATTTGTTGTTAATAAAACCTAACCATCCTAAGCCTAATACATGTCTGAGGCCTAATAAAGTACAGTACGCATATGTGCTGCTGTATACTAGACCTAGGAATATTTTACGTATATTTTTTAGCTTTATTTTTTATGGACTATAAATTAAAAAGTATCTAATTGTCTATTGCATCATTGTATGTATGATGGTGCAGATAGTTACACAAAGTACTATCTAATCAGGAGGATGGGTTGTACGTTCCAGAATTATGACTTCGTCTTTTAAATATTTCCGTGCCTTTTTGTTTTGTTTGTACAGTATGTGCTTGGTGAGACAGCCTTCATCTTATATTCTTTCCTCCTCAGCACTAACAAGTGGCAATAGTTGATTTGATTTGATGACCAAGTCAGTCTGAAGAATTCGTTCATAAATACTTTTAAGTTTATTCAGTCTTTAACACGTCAAATTGTGGAATATTTTTTTTAAATATTTGGAAACAAATTTCATGTGACCTCTCCTAAGGCCCCAGAGGAAATATAGTATGCAGTATGCTTATACTGTATGAAATACTGTATAATGAAAGAAATATAATCTATATACAGTATTAGATTAATTGCTAATTGCGTTTTTGAGAATAGAGTATTAGCAAGAGCTCAGTACAGTAGTCTTTTAAGAGATGGTTTCAGAAATATTTGTCTTGAGTAGCTCGTGCAAATTAGTGTAACATTCAAAATTAGATTTTTTGTTTTTTGTTTTTCTACATCTTTTATATTACAGTACAAGAAAAGGGTTTTATTATTTTATTACCTCTCAGCTTTGCCTCCTTTCCAACAAATATTTTTTCTTAGATTTTGGAGGTTTAATAGGTTCCTGTCACTGCTATCTAATTACTGGGCTGTCAAGCATAAATACTTTTGTAAACTTATCTATTTCTATAATAGAAAATGAACACCAGATATTAAGTATGATGTGTGTTGCACATTATCAACTAACATGTTTCTTATTAAGTGTAAGAGTTTTGTGAAGTCAGCTGAAAGATATTATTCATCATCCCATTTTCCCCTTTCTCAATTGCTCTCGGCAAACATTGGTGGATTCCCCCGAGTAAGTCTCCACTTCTATGATGCAACATGCAAGACACACTCATATGTATTTAACAATATGCTTCGTGGAATGTACATGGCAACTCCCATTATGTTTTGTTTTTTGTGTTAATTTTGTTAGAATCTCTTAAGTCTTATCACTTCTTGAAAACGCTTTGAGTGCTCCATGCATGATTTGTACCTCGGCGTGATTTGTCCAAGGCACTGCAAATTCAGTTTTGGCAGTTCATTCAGTCTTTGATACGTATATTCCTATAAATTATGTTTAATGCTGTGGTTTTAATAGATATTATTTTAACACCTCTCATACAAGACTGGTAATATTTTTTTGAATAATAATACTGTACTTGTGTTTTTGTTTTGAGTAAGTTGAACTTATTTTTACTGCACGCAGTTTTCTCGAACTGTGTGTGTTGCTTCTCATTAGACAATAAATGGGGAAGAGAGGGAGGGGGGCAGGGAGGCTGGTTTGAATGATTCTTTTACTTTCACTAAATTCAGCATACACTTAAAAAAAAATTCTTGAAATTTTTTAAAATTACATTTCTTTAATTAAAGAAGGTTAAAAAAATTTAAAAATAATAATATATTCATACACTCAGTAGTTATTTTAGTGGTATGATAATATTTTACGCAGAAGATTTGTTTGAATTTACAATTCATTTGTAAATTACTGAATAACAGTGACTTTTTGTACTATACACAGATTTGAGACATCGTGTTAAAAGGAGCAAACCCAGCTTCATAAATCATGAAAAATTTGCTCAAGGCTGCTCAGGCTAGAGATGGCATGATGTAATTAACTGTGAAATAATGCAACTAGAATACTTTGTTGCTGAAATCACAGTGATGGAAAGTGTGATGCACAGTGTGTTGAGAAAAGCAAGCCTTAAATGCTTTAGAGAGAAACAGTGTACTTAAAGTTGATCACTCTTTTTCATATTTATAAATCATAATTTAGGTAATCATTTTGACCTGGTAGCACTGGTATGTAGTTATGAACCACATCAATGTTTTTTTCTGAATCTCTGAAATTTATCACATTTGATTAGGGATGGTTGTGTACAATTCAGTTTGCCTCTGACATGGGCTAAACACCTTTGTGGCCATTGTTGGGAGGCTACAAGGTTGGGTGCACGAGAAGTCGTAATATTTCTGGTCACTGTTTTTGTTTACTTTCTTTTAGTAAATGTGATACTCTAAAATATTTGCTCTACTTCAACTCCATATTTTCTTCACTATTAAAAAATAGTTATATGTTCAATTATAGCCTTTATAGTTTTTTAAAGAACATGAATGTCTTAAAGAGAAGTGATTAAGTTTGCCAAGAGATATAGTTAATTATGATGTATATTTTACATATTCTTAATTACAAAATGAAAACGATTAATTAACATATCAGGAGTTTCATCAGTCGGGTGGGGGGAATGCAATAAAATATGCTGTAAGACTGGTATTAATGGGAACTAAACAACTTAGATTTTTGTTAGTTATTCTACTGGTATGCTTCCTAAGATTAGACCACTGAATGTTCCATTGAGCAGGTTCATAATCGTCGAAGCAAGGCGATATTCTAAACAGGATCAGTGGGTATCGTTTCAAAATGTCTCCTTGCTGGGTCATACTGATGTTAAGGGGGCACTGGGGAAGAACTCAGTCCAGCCTAGAGTGACCATAGGAAGTACACCAATAACCACTCTAGCTTTTCAGAGCCCTACTTGGTATCACAGTCATTGCCAAAAAGCACTCTGATCCACCTGATAGCTTTTCAATTGGCTGCTTTCTCCAACCACTATCAAATGATGGTACCCAAGCCAACAGAACGTCCTTGGCCTCAAATGCCATCCTATTCCTCCTGACTTTTTTTACTGAGGACTTGGGTGGTTTTAAATTTAGTCAATTGTTTATCATCATCCTTAGAAATGTTGATCTCATGAGCAGTGGCCTTATGATGTATATTTTTGCTGTAGTACATGTAAACTGGAATGCTTCTTGTATGTGTAAAAAATTTAGGTCTCATGTCCCAGTCAGATGAGAAGGTCCCTCAATTTGCCTTGATGATCTTTTCTACATATATTTTAAAACTCAACACAGTTTTGGCAGTTACAGCTTTGGCGGGTAGGCAGTTCCATGGGTTAATAACCCTGAGGGTGAAAAAGCATCTCCTGTTCTCAGTCCTACATTGTGGCCTGTTGAGCTTGCCACAATGCCATCTTGCCAGAATCGGAGGTAGGCATCCTTCATGTGACATTGCAATATGTTAAGACATTTCTCAGAAGGTCTCTCTGCATCAGAATTAAATCTCAAGCTTTGTGTGTATCCATCTTCCTTCCATGATTAAAATGGTCACATGGTATTGGGACTTTAATAAATAATGTTTCTACCAGTCGGGATGTTTTTTCGTATGCTTTCAAGGCTGTTGAGTTTAGTTGGCTAATACAGTAAAGGTTTTGCCTCCTTTAGTCAGTACAGCCCAGTTCCACTGTAGTTCTACAGATGATCTGTCACCACCTTTGTGAGAAGCAGGCGACAATATTGTTCTTTCAACATTTTTCAGCATCATCTTGTTAGCAGTATGTGAGGTCACCAGGAAGGTACCTTTATCATATATTGTTCTCTGCCAGTTCTTTTGTATGTCAATCCTTCTTTGTGATCTTTCTTTCTTTACTCTTTTTTGGAGACAATTATGCTTCAGCATAATTACTTTTAATCATTCTGCCCATATGGAGCCTCCTCAGCTGTTTCAACTCTTTGGAGCTCACTTGGTCTCCCAATATAGTCATAGGTTTCTTTTGTCTTTAGAGGTTGCAGGATTCACCTTCATTTGTAAACTTCATCCTTACATATTTGTGAGTCCAACCATTTGGACTGGATGGTAGAGCGACGGTCTCACTTCATGCAGGTCAGCATTCAATCCCCGGCCGTCCAAGTGGTTGGGCACCATTCCTGCCCCCCATCCCATCCCATCCCATCCCAAAACCTTATCCTGACCCCTTCCCAGTGCTATATAGTCGTAATGGCTTGGTGCTTTCCCCTGATAATTCCTTTCTTCCTTACAAATTTGTGCCTGCTTACCCTTGCTATGGGCAACCGAGTGAGCGAACTTCGTGCTCTAGTTGGAATTCCTGGTTTTAACATATTTTAGCTTGGAGATCTAGTCATTCATCTACAACCTAACCCTAATTTCCTAGCAAAAAATTTAATTCCTTTATTTTGCCACAGCCATATCATCTTTTGGGTTTGGTTTGTCTGGTGTAGAGTTCATTATATGTTTTGTCTGGTACATTAGTTGTGTTACATCTTTATCTCCAGGGCCCCTAGTCTCTCACGGGCTACAACTTCCTTAATCCTTGCAGCATACTGCCTTGTACTAAGGGCCATGCATTTCGCATACTTCACTGAGTAAATTCAAGTCGGTCCCTGGTGTACCCTGGGATGCGTGGTATTCAACAGTATAACATACTCAGTTTTTCTTATTTATGTCATTTTATGACATTCTTGCAGTCCAGTCACACCTTCGCCAATAGATACCTGCAACTGGAGAGTTCTCTTCCATGTGACTTTTACCTCTGCTGCTGGGAGGGTCTAAGGAAAGTCTGCAATGGCTCTTCAGGATCATCACCATCTTGCCTTGAACTCCAAGTCTCCATTCTTCAGAAAAGATTAATATTTTTTCCCCTTTTTTAGTATCTCGTTGCATCTACATACTCTTGTCTTGGGGAACATCCAAGTAGAGTAGCTCAGAAATCAGGCTTCACATGAATAAGAAAACCTTTTTTCTGAGTGTGATACTCAAGTTTTCCCCTTTCCTTGTGTGATTCCTTGAATCTCCTGTGCATACTTTCTTTTTTTTAGTTTGAATGTGATAGAACTGGTGTAGGGGTAAGTGGTGCAATATTTTTGGCAGCTGGAGACTAACGGCATTGCTCTGTGAGATGCCAGGTAGGGTTCAGTAAGGCATACCATGTTTATGGGAGCACTTTCTGAGGTCATTCCAAGCCAAATTGGACTCTTCTCCAGTGCCTCCCTAGCACCTGTATTGACTTGCCAGGGATATTGTGACAAGATCCCTACTATGAGAGCAGAATTTCACCCTACCCTGACTATCATGAATCTGTCCAGTTGACTTTCATTCAGCTTGCCATAGGGACCATCAGTGTCATGTTCAGAGAGCAGCTGTTCATAGCCAATCAAGCCTGATTTTTATGCTAAAGTTACATTTTCTTTATTCAGCACTCTATAGATGCCATTAACACCGTATTTATATCATAACATATTCATTACTGTTTCAGAAATGGTCGACTGTACCACAGCGATGGAATGGGTAGCATGGGAGGAGGAAGTGGGTCAGCCCCAACAACAGTAAGTACAATGGGCCGCAATGACAACCACCACAACCATCACCACCACACTCACAGTCATAGTCACTCTCTGGGGCCCAACCATGGCCAGTATGCCACTCTGTCCAAGCAGTGCAAGACTCTCGAATCATCTGACTTCTACTAAAGGATATTGGCTCACTAACTAACTGCATGGTTCTCTTCATGGTGTTGCTGGATTCTTAATTGTGCCAGTATTAAAACTGTAGACAAGTTTCAAAGTCTTCATGAAATTCACGGAATCTTGTGGGGAAGCATGTGGAGTACATTAGTGTTCACCAGAATTTTAAGGAGATATATTTTTTCTATCCTTTAAGATAGAATTCTTGTGGTCATAATATACAGTAATATGCCAAAGGATATGAAACGCTTGTATCTAGTAGGGGAAGAGTGTCTTCAGTCTTTCTGTATGTATTTAAGAACAAACAAGTGTATTGTAAGAAGTCTTGTAGATAAAGATGCTGGGAGAAACTACTATTTCATTTTGTTTCAATGTGATGCAGTTGGCCATTTTTTAATTTGTTTGGATGTTAACTAACTGCACTTTATCTACGAGTGGCTTGGTTAAGTTATTGAATGTAGAATAATAGTTGCAGTATGTGTGCATGCTTCCTTTGCAGGGTTTGAATCTTGAATACTTGCATTTTATTCCTATTAGTGTTCAAGATCTTCTTTTTTTTAATCGGTGGAATATGCTGTTTAAATTGTGTTTTTCTGAGAATATATATGGCTTAGTATGCTGTAAGAAATTATGAAATTTTTTGAAGTTGTAAAAAAATAGCCTTGAATGTTATTTGGTAATTACCAGTTATTATTGATGCATAAGAAATCGTCAAGATTTTTGGACTAGCTGAAGTTCATCGGCTACACATGCTACAGACTGTTTTTCAGTATTCGGGACCAATAGTTGAGTACTTGGTCTTGATAGTGCCATTTTGTAAATACTGTATAGCAGAATATTTATCTGGGGGTTAATTTGGATTCTCAAAGGTACTTTGTTTTTTATGAGAATTTATTTATAATTCATTTGGTGCTGTCTCCAGACTTTCCTGTTATCACAAAAGATGTCTTTATTTTTTGTATGCAGCTAGTTAAAAGGTGATTTCATAAATTCGTAAATAACTTAAATTTCAGTGTGGTTATTTTCTTTAGCGGGGCATTTTTTGTTAGCTAAACTATCTCCTTATATGAATATTAGAGGCAAACTTATCTTTATAAATGCTACAAATTGTTATTACTTGGTAAGTTCTTGATAGGTGTGTGAGTTATGATTTAATGAACATGAATTTTCTTCTGAACAAATTTGAGGGTTGAAAGTTAGGTAGAGTAGAAGGCTGTAAAGATGAATAGCTGGTTTACTGCCAGAGCAAGACGTGTGTGAAATGGTAATGCCAGTTGTCGCATATATGGCTTGTCTCTCACATGTTTAAGCAAATGAAATATTTTCACCGCAAAGCTGTAATCTTAAGAATCTAGAAGCACTGTACTTTTTACATTATTCAATATTTTGTGAAATATTTTGATTTTTAAATTTTGAAATATTTTGAAACAATTTGATTTCAGAATGCAATACAAGGGAGTGGAACATGCTGTGTTAATTACAGGTGCCAAGTTTCTTAATTTTACTTCATAGGGGATAACAAAAATCTTACTCCACTAATTAATATTTAAGGGGATATATATATACAGTATATATATATAATTTTGAATTTTCTAAGGTCATATCATCACACTGAATGATGAAAAATAAAAAACATTGGCAGTCAATTTTGTTCATAAAATAACCAATACGATAAATATAAACATTTGGTTGGTATTTGTTCTTTAAATTGAGAAACAAACTTAGTTTGTCATTTTTTTAGATAAGTAAAGACAAAAGAATTATCCTAATTTATTTTTAATAAATTTTGTCAGGGGACAGGCAGCCTGTATACATATACATGTTAGGCTTATATCAAGGTCCCCACCCCTCCTCCCCTTAGGTTGAACTACTGACACTCCCCAGGATGGAACCCCTACAGCAAGCTAAATAACTCCTGGGTGCCTATTTACTGCTAGGTGAACAGAGCATTAGGTGATAGGAATTGTGCCCGACCATTTGTCTCATCTGGGGTTCAAATCTAGACTTCCCAATTGTGCACCGAGAACAAACCCGACTATACTACAGGGACACACATCGTATATACCACATATACAGACACATCACTATGTATAAAATAGTGGTAATAGACAAAATTGATTAGAATTCTTAAAACCTGGAACTTCAAGAGTAAAAGGTCATAGATTTAAGCTACGGAAACAAAGATGCCGAAAGAACACTATAAAGTTCACTTTTGCCAAGTGGTAGATGGTTAGAAGAAGTTTGAGTGAGAAAGAGGGAGAAGGCCAAAACTGTCAGTAGTTTCAAAGTGTTATGGGATGACGGGACACCACGAACTAAGTGTCTCGTCGTGTAACTATCTTGAGGTGATTTTGGGGCTTAGTGTTCCAGCAGCCCGGTCCTCAGCCAGGCATCCTTTCTGTTACACACCCAGGAAGCAGCCCGTAGCAGCTGTCTAACTCCCTGGTACCTATTTACTGCTAGGTAACAGGGGCATCAGGGTGAAAGAAACTACCCATTTGCTTCCGCCTCCACCGGGGATTGAACCCGGAACCTCAGGACTACGAATCAGCAGCACTGTCCACTCGGCTGTCAGGCCCTCCATCAAGCAACTAAACTTAGGTAATTACATACATACAGTATATAAATAAATCTAATTTTTACTTGTCTAAGTAAATGACAAACTAAGTTTACTTTTAAATTTTAAGAACAAACTTCAAACATCAAGCAAATATCACTTTCATTTTTTGATATTATGTTTTAAAATGTTTTTAGTAAATGTTTATTACTGTATTTGCATTTAGTTTTATATACAGTATACACCTTTATAATTTTTTGTTAATATGACAAATAGATACATTTTCTATCAACTTTTCATGAAGGTATCGAGTATGATTTTGTCTCTAATGGTCCTGGTGCATTTGTAATGCGTCGTTTTTGCATTACTTACCATATTGATCTTGGTTACTCAGGATTTGATGTTCTAGATTTAAATCTATCTTTGTCTTCAAACATTTTTAATTTTATTTTTAAATGTTACACATTTCTTTTGCCCAGTGTTTTATAATGTCATGCTAGCATTTTTTGGTGGCAAAATTGTGTCATGAAAGAAAGAAAGAGAGCTTTAGGGCAGGAAAAACAGGGCTGCCCAAATAAGGGACTATACAGTGCAACTTCAATTTGGTGAATTATATGGGATCGACCCTGATTCATTGGGAGCGAGGGATTCATTGCAACTGAAAATGGTTTAGGATGCATTTGTGATGCCATTTGATTTTATAAGCCTAAAATGCATTGCTATGCCTGTTATTTTTTCTCCCCTAATGTTTCAGTCTTCTACGAAAAATTAGAAAAACATGATTGCAGGCATAATAAGAGAGATCATTCATAACCTAATATTTCCCAAGCTCCATGGGCTAATTTCACTGAACAAATTTTTTATTTTAATTGGTCATATAATGGACAAGTACCAGCAGAATTTGTCCAAAGAGATTTTAACACGTCTAGCAATTTTCAACGCCACAGCTTCGAACCTCATTTTCAAAGGCAGCCGGGGCTCAATGAAAACTAAATAGGAGAAATTGGTTTTAAATGTGCTTAATCCAAGCGTCTAACCCTCTTTTTAATATTGCATCCATCTTTGAAAATTATTAAAGATACGATTGGAGCCATATTTTCATTCATAGCCTAATATATCCCATGCTCTGTGGGCATCATATTTTTTTTTTTGAGATATATACAAGAGTTGTTACATTCTTGTACAGCCACTAGTACGCGTAGCGTTTCGGGCAAGTCCTTAATCCTATGGTCCCTGGAATACGATCCCCTGCCGCGAAGAATCGTTTTTTCATCCAAGTACACATTTTACTGTTGCGTTAAACAGAGGCTACAGTTAAGGAATTGCGCCCAGTAAATCCTCCCCGGCCAGGATACGAACCCATGACATAGCGCTCGCGGAACGCCAGGCGAGTGTCTTACCACTACACCACGGAGACTGCATATGACAACCCATCCTCCTGTTTAGGTATTACTTTTTGTAACTATGTGCACCATAGTACAAATATTGATGTACTAAGCAATTAGACAGTAGAATTTTGTACTATTCACTTTGTAGAGTCCAAAAAAATGAAGCTAAAAAACAAATATACCTCGGCCTAGTATAGCGCACACATGTTCCATATTAGGCCTCGGATAGTGTGTGTTTGGCTTAGATAGGTTAGTTTAGTTTGTCTTTGCAACATAAGTAGAAAATGTTTTTCTGGTTTGTCCAAATTCAATAATACCAGTTTGTTTGTAATTGCATTGTACATTGGTATATGTACTATGGTCTTCATCCTTCCTATAAGTACTATCAAAACAGGAGGATGGGCTGCATATGATAGATAACCTTTCTCCTAGATCTCTGAACTCTGGGTCTGCTTCCTAAGCAAATCTGCACATTCTCTACTACTGTACGTTAAATCTTCACTTATTTGGCAAAGCTGGTGGGTAAATCTGCCCTGGAAAGTGTGCACAGCAACTAGAGATTCACCGAAACAAGGTTCGCCAAATTGAGGTTATGCTGTACAGTACTGTGTGATTACCCGAGTGAAGTTACAGGATATGAACTAGGTGTCATATGATGCTTTAAAATTGCTTATAGTTTTTACATCCATCACTTTCTCACTTAAATTGTTCCACCTACAACACTGTTTGGGGGAAAAAAAAAGGAACTTTCTGATGTCTTTCAACACTGTTATTTCTTTAGTTTAAACTATGGCCTATTCTTGAAGTTGCAGGTCTAAAAAAAAAAAAACATAACACACAAAAAAGTGTACTGGAAAGATGGGACACCATGAGCGTAGCTCTCATCCTGTAACTACACTTAGGTAAGTATACACACACCTTTATTTTTATATAATATTTCCTCCTCAGTTTCCCCCCCTCTTGCTCTTTCAACCTTATCCTTCTCCACCCCGTTCCTCCACTTATGCACCATAAGCTGTGCCATTTGACATGTGTATGAGCTATATAACTTTAGGAGTTGGCAGTGTGTCAAGAAAGTCATAGAAAAGATCATATGATTATTTTGGGTAGAATGCTATTCCTTCCTTCTGTAGTGTGTGTTTGAAAGTTTTCTATTTGACGTTTGTTATCTGAGAAAAGCCGAAGTACATGTACTGTACTTAGCATTGTCTTAAATTTAAAGTTATATTTATTAGCACACTCATAGATTATTTGAATTTATTTCAAGTGTATACTAATACAGTAGTGTATATTGATGTCCAAGAAATAGGTAATCTGATTTTTTTTGTTGTTGTTGTAAGAGAACATTATTATGAACAACTTGAGCTGTAACTGTTCATACAGCATCTGAATGTATCCCATATCATCACAGCTTTGTCTCTAAAAGTTTGTCATGCATGATTGTCTTGAGATGTTCTGTATAAGTTTTTGCCACATGTAAATATTTATAATTACACTTCATTTTCTCTAGCTTGGAGAGTTTCTTGTAAAGGGGTTTCTTTTTTTTTCTTCTTCTCCTTGAACAGGATGGAAATTTGTAAAATAAATACATTAGTTGGCAGTTATACTATATATGTAGTATTGTTAATTAATTTTTACATACACAAAAAGCTTTTAAAATATGAACACAACATTCCAAATAATAACTACTGGAATCTTTCTCTATGAACACACACTTTCCTCTACTAGCTAATCTAGTCATTTAATTGTCAGTGTTATCTATATTCAACTGTCCAGATAATTGCTAGGTGTGGAAAGTTGCTGCTGAGCAAATTTAGTTTATATTTTTATCCAAGACATGTAACAAAAAGTCTACAGATGTAATGACTAGGTTCTATAAGAATAATGTTCCCTTTTTATATAATTTACGTGGCTACGTGGTTCATGTAATTTAAAGGGTTAGTATTTCCATGTAGCTAAAAGCCATGTAGGGTAAGAAACCAGTATTCTTTAATGACAACAATGTTAAGTAGTTCTTAATGTATATATATTTCCACAAGAACTTATTTTCCAGTATAATCAGTGATCGACATGGAGGAGTGTCCCTGAAGCTTACAAATGACAAAATGAGTGTGGGAAAACTTCAACAAGTTTACTTGTGGCCAGAGACACAAGATACTGCTAGATAATTGAAAGATAAGTGTTCATTATATCACATTTTGTAGATCAGTGTAGTGGCACTTTGTAGGTTGTACAGTCAAAATTGAGCGGTTGTAAATATAAAAATGTAATTGATGAGATTTTACTTTAAGCTCATTTGTACGTTACTGTGAAAAATTTAACAAGTGCAGGATAGCATGTGCTTTTCTTTGGTAGAAAAGCACAAAAATGATAGAATTGTGTCCATGCTCAAAGTGCTTAAGAGGCAGTATTACATAACTTTAGGATGCAGTGAAGATTACCAAAGAAATATCAGTGACAGTGATCTTTAACAGAGTGTAGCTGAAAAACATTTTAGCAAATCAGCTAGATCTATAAGTTTGAGCAAAAAGTGGAAACTCTGGGTAAAAACGGTCCAAGACATTTTTGTGTAATTTTAGAGTGAAGGTGAATGACTGTTGCTGTGTTAGGGTTTTTTTCTATAATGCTATTGACTAACGCTGGTAAATATGGCTAGCTGGGAGCACTGACTAGACCTGAAATAACGATGTCTTGTCATTGCTGTACGTAGTGTCAATTCCAAGCCTCAATTCAGTTTATTTTCTAGAAGAATCATTTATTGTACTATCCTCCACATAAAGTATTTTATATTATGAAATGCCGGTATCAAGAGGTGGTGTTAAAAACAAAATAGATGGAGGATGATCTACAGCTGTGTTGTGTACATGTATCAGTAGTAAATGTTATAGTTGAGTATATGTATGTATATATGTGTGTATATATATATATATATATATATATATATATATATATATATATATATATATATATATATATATATATATATATATATATATATATATATATATATATATATATATATATATATATATATATATATATATATATATATATATATATATATATATATATATATATATATATATATAATATATATAATATATATAATAATATATATATAATATTTAATGTAACAGGTCACAAAAAAATTTGACCTAAAAATGTATGAAGAATCACATAAACGGAGAGGAATATTAACACTGTCGCCCAATTACGAGTGTCTTCAAAGACTAAGATAGATAAACAGATGGATTGTTACCACTTGGGCACAGGGACTGTGAGATCAGAAATAGTTAAGTAAGTCAGCAGAGATCAATCTATTTCAATAAATAAATCATAATAAACTAAGAAGAATTAGGAACCAAAGGATCCCAACTCTCGGTATATTATGGCGAAGAGAGCATTTGAATACTGTATTGTCCAGTCTGAACAGAGTTCTTATGCTGTGGCACACATACTGTAAAGTTAAAGGTTCTCGTATCTGACCAATATAAACATAATCACACAAAGTTGAACTAAAAGTGTGGCACAGTGTAAGTACAGTGGCACCTTGGTTTACAAATTTAATCCGTTCCAAGAGACAGTTCGTACATTGAAAAATCGTAAACCGAAATCAATTTTTCCATAAGATATAACGTAAATTGAATTAATCTGTTCCACACACCCAAAATTATTAACTTAAAAATACATTTTACGCAGAATACTACTCATATTTTTTACTACAGTATACCTTACCTTTATTGAGGACCCTTGTTGGCAAATTTCTGCCCAAAACGCTTTGTGTAATAGTGGCTTTAGGCATTGTATGTACTAGCTCTATCTATAAATCGATCAATTTATGTAAAATCTCTTGTATGTATGTACCTTACCTGAATAAACACTTTATTTTATTATTTTAAATGTAAGACAGTGAGGAGGGGGAAGGGGGGGGGGAGGAGAAGAGGTGTTAGAGTTTGGATGGACGTTCCCTTCCATTATAGCATCAGGCAGTGATGACATTTCTGGGGTACTCTTATCTCCTACGTTTTGCAGGCATACCACTTAGACCTGG